AATTAATTATAGATGTAACGGCCCCGGAAATATTAAAAAGAAATGAGTATTTAAATATATCGAATGCGGAAGCGAGATCAAAATTTCAGTTAACATCCCTTACACGAAAAACCAAAAAAAACGTACTTAAAATATAAAAGATTAAACTAACGAAGAAAGAAACTCGAAAATAAAACTATGCGTATGACTACAGAGTCTCTAGGCATCCCCTTCGTCGTCCTCCTGCGGAACGGGCTCGGGAACCATGTCTTCCTGATCTGAAATGGTTAATTAAGGAGTGAGCTACACTAGCCCAGTAAGAACATCACGATATCTCACCGTCACGGAGGTAAAGGTGGGTAGAAAAACACAAAAAGACCAATGGAGCATAATTTACAACAAACTCGTTTATTAACATGAAAACCTTTACCATCCACTTACCTGGGTGGAATTTATGAAAACAATATAAGAAAAACAATAACATTATCATAATCATTGAATAATATAAGCTGTAAAACATAACACTTATCACGCCTCTTGTAATTCAATCATTGTACAACATATCTCTTTTCTCATTTACCAGCCTACTAGTATCCGTGGGGGTCCATAGGGGTTCCGCTACCCGTTAACCTTTAACATTCATAATCAGTTTCCAGGGCCGTCCCCATACCCCGTCCGGTATGGGCGCCAAAACCATGAACCTCAATACCCCGTCCGGTATGAGGGTGAAACGGGCCGTCCCCATACCCCGTCCGGTATGGGCGCCAAAACCATAAACCTCAATACCCCGTCCGGTATGAGGGTGAAACGGGCCGTCCCCATACCCCGTCCGGTATGGGCGCCAAAACCGTAAGATCTCCATACCCCGTCTGGCATGTGAGACCACAATCCCGGTAGGGTTCCCTACGGACCCGGTCCGTCCACCATCTCCCAGGATATCTAGTCAGGCTGACCCCCATAATACAGTTATCAGTCTACACAATCTTTCATTTTCCTTTTCCTCAGTCAGCATCATCAATTCACATACAAACAAGCAAAACAGTAATTCATGCCAAACAGACAACATACAGTATCAGTTTTTCAGTCATTCAGCCCATGATTAATAAAAACGTAGTATATGCACACAAATCTGTAAAATGAACACATCAAACCTCATTTTGCATTTAAAGCTGTAAACAGGCCAAATAACAGTAAATCGCCAATCACACTAGACTCGGGCTCCATTAGCAACCTTAAGCAATTTCACACATTCGTTAATTCAAAAAATACCGTTTTATCATTTTGAACTTTAATACCGTGATAGGAAATAGGGTGAGGGGTCCTTACACGTTTCGGGGTCCGAACACGGCTTCACGGTGCGCTTGCAGGCTGTCCCTAATTTTCCCTGAATTTTCCTCGGGGAACTGAAATGCACTATTGGTACCTGCACGTGTTCCAAAAAAAACCCAAATTAGGCCCAGGGCCTCAATCGGCCCAAATCGCAACTCCGGCACGGCGGCTCCGCGGTGCTCCGGCGACAGCGCCGCCGCTGGCGGCGGCGAGTCGCCTCGGGTTGGCTGTTTTCGGCCATTTTCGTTCGGCCACACTCGCATCGGTCCCTGTGAGAAAACAACCCTAGGGCTCTCGGGGGGCCAAAAAATCACGGAAAAACGGAGCTTACCGGCGGCGGCACTCTCGGGTGCGGCGGCTCTCCGGCGAGGTTCGTGTTTTGGTGATTCGGCTCCGGTCAACCTGTAGAGAAAAGAATGGTGATCACGGTGATATAAAAATTGCATCGAACGGAGGCCGGGAAGGGCCTCGTCGGAGGCAAAAACCGAGAGGGGGCGCGGCGGCGCCGCTGGTCTTCGGCCGCGTATTCCGGCCGTTTGGCCAGAATTTTGGCTTTGATTTGGCCATAGAGGAATCAGCGTGGAAAAACGAGTCGGGAGTATGAAATTTACCTCGATCGGCGGTCGGAAATTTCCCCGGTGCGGCGGCGGGTGGCGGCGGTCGGCCTCTGGTTCGTCTTCTCCGGCGAGCGGCTGGCGGCTAGGGTTTGTGGTCTGGTGTGGGGGTTCTATTTATAACCCCTTGCCTTTTGATCACAACCGTTCATTTCGTTTTAATCTGGGCCGTTCGTTTTTGATTGAATCTGGGCCGTCCGTGCGATTGAATCTGGGCCGTCTAATCGCGCGATTGATCTGGGCCGTCGGATCGCACCCACGCGGATCGCCAACGTGGCTCCTTTTGGAGTGACGCGGTCTTGCCACGTGGCAGGCCCTGGTTGGCCGGGACTGCTGACCGGGCCTGCTGACGTGGCTGCTGACGTGGCCGCCCTTTTTTTTTTTTTCCCTCCTTTCCGGGTGCTACAATAGATATTTTTTAAATTTCACTAAATATCATATTATTTAAAATTAAACTTCAATTCCATAATAGAGGATAGAGTGATGGATTCTTACTCAATTTGATACTCGAAAGGCTAAACTATTGATTGCGTCTACTCGCGGTCCCCAGGTTCCCTGAATTTTTCTTCGGAAATTAAAACGTACTATAAGTACCTACAAATGTCCCAAAAAATCCAAAATCAGTCTCAGGACCAAATTTTGATATTTTGGCATGGCGACTCCACTGTGTTCCAACGACGGGTGACGATGGTCAGCCTCAGATCGGTTGTTTTTGACCATTTTCAGCCGATTTTGCATCGATGCCCGCGAGAAAACAAGTTAAGGAGCCTCAGTTGGCTGAAAAAATATAAAAAAACTGAAACTCATCGGCGACAGGGTTCTCCGGTGCAGCGGCTCATCTGGCTCATGTTGCGGTTGTGTGTTTTACTTCGGTCAAACTGTAGAGAATGAAACGGTGATCAAAATAATAGAAAAATTACGCCGAACAGGAATTGAGAAGGGCCTCATCAGAGAAGTTTTGTAAAATTTTTCGCGGCGGCACCGCCAAGCATTGCCCGCGGTTTCTGGCCAATCAGCTGATTCTTTTTCTCCGATTTGGCCATGGGGTATTTAAAATTGAATTCCAAGCAAATTGAAAAATTTTTACTTTTTTTGGCGGTCGAAAGTAGCTCCAGTGCGGCGGCAGGTGGCGACGGCTCTCCTTCCCGGCGGCTGGGTCTTCTTCTCCGGCAATAGTGGCTGGCGGCTAGGGTTAGGGTTTAGTGTGAAGGGAGTTATTTATATCCGTTCTCATTTAATCTGGGTCCTCCACCGCGTTTTATTTGAACCATCCGATCGCGATTAAATAAGGAATGATGAACGCGATCTAATCTGGACCGTCTGATCTCGTTTAAATCTTTCCATCCGATCGCGTTTGGAGAGTGAACGCATCCAGGCCGTTCGTGCGCGGAAAAACGGCTCTAGGCCGTTCGATCGCGGGCACGCGAATCGCCCGCGTGGCACCGCGTCAGCGTCCGTTGTCACATGGCATGTCCTGGTTCGTCGAGGTTGCTGACCGAGCATCCTACGTGACAAAACTTTTCTAAATTACATTTTGAAAACCGGTTTCCGATTTTTCTTTCAAAAGTACTCTCATAATCTAAATTTTTCACATCTTTTTTCCAAATTTATTTTCAATTTTATCCTCCATCACATTTCCTTCATTTTTACACTAAATTAAAATTAAAAAATTATATTTATAATTAATTTAATTTACAATTAAATTAATTTGAGCATTACAATATATAATAATATAATATAGCATATTACATACTATGATAACCATTCATTAAAAGAAAGGCTATCATAAGTAATTAAAACAATATCTAAAAATTGTAGTGAAAAATGTAAAAGTAAATTTAAAAATACTATTTTACTCTTTTTAAATTCCTGTTATATTTTTAAATTAATTTTTCATACTGTACTTTTATCTTGAACAATCATACACGTTTTGTGTGCAAATATATATAAAATTTTAAGAACAACATTCTGATGTAAACAATAACTAAAAGATGCTTTAACGTTTAACCAAAAAATATATGAAGATATAATATCACTCCCACGTGCTTTATTTTCATATATGTACATATATTTATTTAAATTAAATAATAATGGGAGATTTGATTTTTATCATGTTACCTGAATTTATGAAATTTTTAAAGCACTAAATATTAGTTGTTATATTATTTTAAAATATTTAAATTAATATATATAATATTTGTTATTTTAATTTTTGTATTTTTAAAAATTTTCTAATTTAATCTCTAATTATTAGAGGTGTTTTGTGGAAAAAAGAAATTAGACATGTACCAAATTTGCACCCATGAACCTATCAAAGAAATATAAACATAACTTATTTACTCATATTTATAGGCTTACCAAACTTTTTTTTGCTCATTCTTTCTGAGTCTATGAATTTGCAGAAATTAAAGGGGGAAAAAAAATACATTAAATTCCTATTGGAATCCAGAGAGATTTTTATTTTTGGTCAAAATTCTTTTAATTTTATCTTATATAGAAATATTTTAAATATATGTATATATATATATATATATAAAATAGCATTTCAAATTAATAGATGAATAATGATATTTGTAATTTTCTATCATTTTAAAAATATTTATTATTTTCTTGTTTAAAGAAAAAAAAAAAACATCCATCTCAGAGATAAATCTTATACAAACTTAATATTTACATTCCAAACATAGCCCAAAATTTTTAACTGTTACTTTTTTTCCCCAATTTAAAGAAATCAAAAACAGAAATATTTAAGAGAAAAGTAGAATGCTTTGTATTCGTCAATTTTCTTGATAGATACTAATAATTAATTAATCTTTATTCAAGACAAATAAAAATTGGTAAACATTCCTTCATTTTCTTCTACTTGTTAGTCTCATGAAAAAGAACTTATCAGGCTCATGACATGACTCAAACCCTTCTCCATGGAGCAGCTTCACAATCTCTAGCTGAGGCATAAGACTGATTAGCAGAGCTCCACATAATCCTACTCAAAAAAGTCTCCATCTTTTTTCACACCAAATCAACCTCATAAAATACACCCAACAATCAAAATAACCAGATAAGTCTAAATTGTGGGACTAAACATCTGAACCAGGAAAGGGACATTTATTCATCTTCATCACCATACAATTTCCCAAATGAAGTTACAGAATATCCATGTACTAATACTCTGTTCACAATGAAGTGACCCCCACTGAAATGGTCAACAACTGCCACAACTAATTACATGATTACATAAATACGATTACACCAAAGACAAAATAAAAACTGTGTTTGATCGTCCCTTTTGAAGAATGTAAAGTAGCTCATCACCTGCTTTCTCTATCTCAGACTTTTACAGTATCTATCCTTTCTAACACTAAGTCCTCAATTTTGCCTGTAAGCAATGTAATTCGCCAGAGCAATCAAAGGAGCAGCTTTCTCTTCATCAAAATCACGAAGCTGTTCCTGCGCATCCTTGTTCAATTTCTCTGCCAATTCCCTTGATTTCTCAATACCCATTAGTTTAGGATACGTGACCTTCTCCGCCACCAAGTCTTTCCCGGCCGTTTTCCCCAGTTCCTGCGACGATTTCGTCACGTCCAGGATGTCGTCCACCACCTGAAACAATAATCCAATGTACCTGGCGAATTTCCTTAGCTTCTCAATTTCCTCGTCGGTCCCGCCGCCAGAATCGCTCCGAGAACCACAGCGGCTTCGAGCAGAGCGGCGGTTTTGTGGACGTGAATGAACTCGAGGTGCTCCAACCCCACATCAGTCATTCCTTCGCTGCATATATCGACGACTTGACCGGCAACTAAACCTTCAGTCCCAATTGATTTCGCTAACTCCTTGATAGCGCGAACGATTCTCGAAGGATCGACACCGACGGTGGCGACGGCGAGGTGCTCGAAGGAGAAGGAGAGGAGTGCGTCGCCGGCCAAAACGGCGACGTCCTCGCCCGAAGACCTTGTGGTTGGTGGGTTTTCCACGGCGGAGATCGTCGTTATCCATGCAAGGGAGATCGTCGTGGATGAGGGACATGGTGTGGATCATCTCCACAGCGCAAGCGGCGGGCATAGCTATCGACTCGTTGCCACCCACGAGTTCGCAGGCGGCGATACAGAGAGCTGGGCGCACACGCTTGCCACCCGCGAGCAGGGAGTAGCGCATAGCTTCGTGGATCTTCTTCGGTTCCCGGAGCGAAACGGCGGCGTCTAGGGCCTGGTTCACCGAGTTGGCTTTCTGCACCATATAGGACTTGAAATCAAAAGCAGGCTTCCGATTTTCTTGCTGAGTGTCTTCTCTGGCAAGAACTGAGGAGATGGCGGAGAAACGGCGTTTTGGGTACGGAGATACGACGGAGATGGGGAGGTTTCTGAGAGGATTGAGAAATGGGGATCTGGGAATCGCTTTGGATCTACCTCCTCGGCTAAACATGGAACGGTTCTGAACCCACAAGCTCAGATTAATCGAAGTCATCCTTCTCCTTTGCTTTTTGAAGATCAAAAGACTTCTCAAGATTCGAAAACCAGATATCGCTGGCTCAAGCTCGACCCACCGAATTGCAGTGGAAAGTGGGACAGGCCACGTTTTATCTTCAATATTGGTGCTTAAATAGAAAAAAGAAAAGAAAGATATTACAGGAAACAGCCAAAAAACGCCATTGATGACTTACCTAAATAACAACATTGAGTCACGGGGGTGGCATTCGGACTCAACTCCATTTCTTGGATTTCGATCAGGCACTAGTATGAATGGGAGTCGGGGAGTATGAGAATGAGGGAGTGATGAGTAAAAGAGGTAAGAGAGAAACGGAGATTGAGGTTTTAGTAATCTGATACCAACCACCAGAGGACAACGATAGGATTTTGGATTGGATGTGCTTCGTGGACAAAGAGTATCTTGACATCCCTACCATATAAATTTTTGTCAATATTAAATTTGGGTACAGATAATTTTTCTGAATAAAATTGAAAGCCAAGTAATACTGTGGTAGAATTTCATGTGAAAATTAACATCATAATATTTTTGACAGTAGAATCTCTATTTAAAACATAATTATCTTTTAAAAGCTAAATAAAGTATGATTAGTCAAACCTTGAAATTCATTAATGGTGCCTAAATCGGTAACATTATATTCATGCACCATGTTATTATTTATTGACAATATGATAGTTGTCAGCAGCTGATTGGATTCAAGTTTTGTAAAGAAATTTCTTTTCAACTTCTTATCTGCTAAGGTTGGTAGTTGGGTGCGGAGGTAATGCGCATGTGCTATGTAAGATAATTGCCAAGTTTAAACCTTGGAGTATATCTAATAAATTATTGGCATATTTGATTTTCCAGCAATTAATCAACTGCTAATTGTAGAGGATGTAAAACAATCCTGGCCTGTGGACATTTGGTTCTTTTTTCTTCTCTTTGCTATTTAATTATTGTTTTAGGAAAAGATAGTTTGTCCACTTCTTAAGAGAGGAAAGAAAGGAAACGAAATGGAGTGTATATCTTTACTCCAATTTGTTGGCAAAAATATTTTCTTTCTTCCTGAATAGCAAGCATATCAAGTTCAAATTTTCTAGGTAGCAAAGACTACTTCAAACCAAAAAATACACAAAAATTAATTTAAAAATATTTCTGTTAAATTTTGAGAGAACAAAGTTATCTACTAATTTTTCAGACAATTATTTCCATTCCATACATTATAACACAAACTAATATTTTTTGAAAAATTACCACCTAACCCTAGCACCCTTACGTAATAATTTTCTTTCCTTTCCCTCCTCCCGCACAAACAATGTTGTAATTTTGAAAGCACGATGTCCCAAATACGTTGTAGAACTCCATACAAACAAATCCTCATATAAGCTGCGTTTTCCAGGTCCAAGAACTCAAGCAAAGGAACCGTCCTAATTGCAGTTCGGATTCTTGGTTCACTAATTTGACAAATTAGAATTTCCTATCCCCGGTTAAAAAAAAAAAAAAAAAAAAAAAAAAAAAAAAAAGAGAATCAATTTCTGTTTAACCTAACTAGCAAAACCTGCAAGACCTCTTGTTGAGGATGCAGATACAAAAATACCCATTATCATTAATCATCTTTGTGAAACCATCTTTTGCTCCCGGATAGTCCACCAGAAGTGGACTTGAGAAGTAGATAGTTAAAAACTAAATTCCCGGTAAGCATGTTTCACATGATGCACACAACCACAACTGGGTCAACTAACAGTTTGAACCCTTCTCACATTAAACAAGACATGACTTATGCCTCTTAAATCTTCGTCCATATACATTTATTTTCCCTAGTATAGGTTTCATAATAGTGAAAACAGATAATGGGTCCACTATCTGTGCAGAATGCTTCAGAGGGAAAATCAACCAGAAAATATTAAAAATCAAAAGAATGTCCACATTTAGTTTAGGGCCTACAAGCTCTGCTGTGCTTGTCACGTGTTTGAAGCCTTTTACCATGTCATAAAGACCAATGAAACTGCAAGCCCGTGGTTTTATCAAATAAACATTATGTCTCGTTCTCAAAAGAACAGAAACATTACGTTTCTCATTGTTAAGACTAAACAAGACCTAGATTGCCGATTCTATTTCTTTCCAACACTTGATTTCTTAGCATCAATAAGACAGTTATGCACTAAATACCACTAAATGAGAACAGTAAATATAGTATGATAAATGTATCTTAGAAGACTAGTTTATGCCCTACCATATATTTCAAGTATTTCAGAGGAGAGATGCCAAAAATTCCCTCTAATCTCCAGAAAGACATATCCTGAACTATGTCAAATCAGAAAACCTCCTGACTGGCTTTACTTGTTGTACAGGAAGAGTATGCTGAAGATGAAGAAACCGGCCATCTGCAATAACCAAAATTTATCAAATCTCCCGAGGTTTAATGAAGACAAAGAAGAGATGGGAAAATGGTATAGGATGGGCTTGAGAGAGAGAGAGAGTACTGTGGTAAAAGAAGCTCCATAATAAGGGAAAGCCGTGGTTATAAATCTCTCATATTCATTGTGCTTGAAGGGTCGTACTGGAGCCTGCACATCAGTTCAAGTGTTTCAGATCAAATCCACAAGAGACTTCTTTTTTTCTATCAGCAGCGTACAGACAAAATGGAAAATCATTTGTGCTTCAGGTGATAACATTTTTCCCCTTACAACAGCGCAATCCAATTAATTATTGGAAAATAGTATCATGACACCACTAATTACAAACAGAAAGCAATTAGTTTTCCTAGGATCTACCTGTCAATCCATATTTATCAAATATACTGAAGATAACAAAGAAGAAAAGAGATCATTTTTGCCAGAAAAGCTTACCTGTTTTGAAAAAGATAAAGTAGTGTACCCAAGCTTTTCATACTCAACCTTAAACTGGAAAACGCCATAAACATCAGGCACCTTGAATGTTGTATAGTAAAGACCCTGCAGAACAAAGGCAAACATATGGAGAGGGTTATTAAAACCAATAAATAGGTTGACAAACCAAATGCACGCATTGCCATCTATGAGTACCTTCTGATCAGTTGATAGCATCTTCAGAACATAAGGACTCATCATATAGAACTGGACCTGAACATCATCAGCCACATACGGTTCCCAACTCTTCCCAGACCACTCATAGATCTCAACAGCAAATTCCTGCCAACAAGTAAATTGGTGACTTGCAAAATACTTCCTGTCTGCCTAGATCACTTTCAAGCAAATTCACAAATCAATAGAAGAAAAAAAAGAGGCATTACCAAGTCATCTTTGATTCTGTAAATTGCAGCCTCGTCTGTTTCTCCAACTTTATTGTGCCTAAGATTAACAGCCTGATTATCAACATGGTGAAACAGAAGACACAGATTAATCAAACTTGAGAATAATAGACAAAGAACTCCGTAAGAACTAAATATCCTCCTTGCTGACACCAAGGTTAAATTCAAAATTTTACTCCTTATGGAGTTCATAAATTTTAAGAGGAAAACCATTTTCTCACCTTTAGATGCCCTCTTTCATGAAACACCCATTTGCTAACTTCAGTTACAAACTGCTGGTTACCTGATTTCTCATATCTGCCAATACAAACTTAAATAGGTAAATTTCTTGTCTCCAAGATATGCTTAGATAGTTCAGGACTTCCAAATAAGGATTCCTGGTCTATTATTCACAGGCACAAAAATCTGGCCAGGGAGAAGAATAAGTGGAAAATAAATCAATATAGAAGAGAAATTTACAAAACCTATCAATAGAAGCTTCACAACAAAAATCGAAGAACATTCATATGTAATTTACCATCAAATAAAGGAGGACTTAAGATAAGAAGCCCCAGAAAATTTCCAAAACTCACCATATTTTTCTTCAAAATGTCAGTAGTGGAAAATTCCAACAAATCAATCACATCAATAACAATCAAAGCAGGCCAAGAAGTTACCATTGCTTGTTTTGCCACAAGCTCCAAAGGCTAATACACAATTTTCCAAATATATAACCTAAAGAGACATGCAGCCAGCATATGCTGCAGTAGGAACTTCTTTAACTACAATGAATCCTATCAGATGTCTTTCTTGTCTAGAATTGACTAATTATACCCAATAGACAGGGTTAGACTTCTCCGCTGAAACATATTTTTTTATTGTGAAGATAGGCACCCATCTTGGAGAAGGAATGACCATTCCTTTTTTTTAAAATAAGAATGAACATTCCTATTTGATAGGATATAGCCAAGATTTGGATAATGCTGCAAACATGTCTCGCTATCTGCTCTCACAAAAAAACTTAATCTACTCCTCCCACAAGTTAGATTCTTTTTAATGAACTGCGAACTCAAAATTTGATCCAACATATAAGTCATCATATCTACTTAAAACCCAGATTCATGTTTCCTGCATATTAGCATAATTAAGTTTTAGATAAAACATAATTAAGTTAGTGAGCAACCTAAGGAAGCAACTAACTTCATTCTCTATAACATGCCAAAGATGAGTCCTATAAACACTTAAAAATCCGATGACCCTCTAATTTTTGTGTTTTTGGAATAAATAAGGACATAGATATACATATGTATGGAAGACACATGAAAAGCCTAAGAATTACATCTTAAAAGATGCAAAAGAATTTCCACTTACTTTTTTGGACTTCCAGATTTCTGGACATCAGATCTGAACAATCTGCATTACATAGAGCAAAAAAAATTGAAAATAAATAGATGTTATTGAGATTGCAGAGTCACTAGCTAGAAAAACACCAAATAATCACCAACCTGTTACTGAACAGATCTAAAGAGCCAGTTATCATAACCCGAGCATTGTTTCTGGCCTGCATTTTATGATAACTATTGCCCATAAGATTCATAGGATTTGAAGATGTTGATCATGGCCAAACAAATATAAAGTTCTAGGTAAATGATAAACCGGAAAATGAACTTATTCAGAGCTTTCAAAATCTAAACAAATTTATCAACGAAATAAATATTAGTTTCAAAAGTAAAAGAAAAACACAGTAGTAAACCTCAAGACATGCAGGAAATGACAGTCCACTTGTGTCAGCTTACTTATGTGCACCCAGACTCGCGTTTGCAAGAGAGGTATAATACTCAATTCCGAAATTTAGTTCGGGATTAATTTTAAAATTAAAAATATATATATAAAAATATAATTTTTAAATTTATAAAGTTTTATTTAATGTAAAATTAGGAAAAAAATAAGTGGATGGTGAAATTGAAAACAATTTTAGAAAAAATGAGTGAAAATTTCGGTTCGGAGGTATTTTTGAAAGAAAAATCGAAAACTAGGAGTTAAAACGCAATTAAAGAAAAATACACCATGTAGGACCGTACAGTCAGCAGTTCTGACGAACCGGAGCACACCACGTGGCAAGGCACCCTAACTCGGTGCCACACGGGAGCCCACACTGACACTCCGTGTGCTCGCGATCGGACGACCCGGATGCGTTTCCACACGTGTAAACAGTCCGGATCTGTTCTCTCTTTAAGCTCGATCGGACAGTCGGGATTAAACGCGATGAACGATCCAAATTCGTTCTCTCTTTAAGTGCGATCGTATTGTCGACATCAAATCGCGATGAACGGTTTACATTTATTTCTTCTTTAAACGCAATCGAACGGTCCAGATTTAAGGGAGACGGGTATAAATAACTCACATCACACCAAATTCAAACCCTAACTGTCATCTCCCCGCCGGAGAAGGGAGCTGACTGCCGCCCGTTGCCGTGTTGAACCACCTCCGACCGCCAAAAATGTAAAAATTCTCTTATCCGCTCGAAATTTGATTTCAAACACCCCCCATGGCCAAATTGGAGTAAAAAGAACAGTGAATGAGCCAGAAACTGCAGATAAAACCCGACGGCATCGCCGCGGGCAAAACCAAAAATTGCCTCCGATGAGCCCTTTCCTGATTCCCGTTTCGTGCGATTTTTCCACCATTGTGTTCATCATTCTGTTTTCTATAGGTTGACTGAAGAAAAACATCCATCTGCAAAGGTAAGCCGAAAAAGCCACCACACCGGAAAATCCCACCGCCGATAAATTTTTATTTTTCGACTTTTTTCAGCAAACCGAGTCTCCTAACGTGTTTTCTCGCAGGGATAGGTATAAAACCGGACGAAAATGACCAGTCTGAAGCAAACCGCCATCGCGGATGGCGGTGTTGTCGTTGGAGCACGGCTGTACCATTGTGCCGTAATTTTGAAATTGGGCGAAAAAATATTTTTAACACCGATTTTAGATTTTTTGGATTATTTTTAATTATGTTAAGCGTGTTTTAACCTCCGCAAGAAAATTCAAGAAACTTAGGGACCACCAGTAAGCGCAGCTAAAATTTCAGTGTTTTGAACACCGATTCGGTTAAGAATCCCTCACCTTATTCTCTGTTATGGAATTCAAGTTTAATTATCAATAATATGGTATTTTACGTAATTTAAAAAGTTTTGAGAATTAATTATAGGTTACTAATATAAGCAAAACCGGTTATTTATTATTGTTGTCCTGTTTAACCGATTGTTTAATTTTACAGCTTTAAATGCATGATAATATACTAGAATTGATAAAATGATTCAGTTATATTTTCTTAATGCATGTATTGTTTGTCTTGCGTTGATTTACGAAAAAATTGTAAATTTGAAAATTAAATATAAACAAAAAATTGATTGATTAAGTTAATGAATGAATGAATGGTAGTTTTACTGAATATCCTGGGAGATGGTGGACGGATCGGGTACATAGGGAATCCTATCGTGAACGTCGCTTCATACCGGACGGGATATTGAGAACTGGTATTTCTGGCGCTCATACCGGACGGGATATGAGGACGGCTCATTTCACCCTCATATCGAACGGGATATTGAGGGATGGTATTTTTGGCGCTCATACCAGACAGGATATGGGGACGGCCGGTTAGCTGACAAGGTTGGATGTTGGTTTACGTCTAATGGAACATTCTTATGGATTCCCACAGATACCAGTAACCAAATAAAAATGAAAAAATTATTATTCTTACTTACTTGAATATGAAATTATGATGTCGTTGAGTTATTGTTTCTTTAGGTCGATTTTGAAAATTTCGCAACAGTAATTATGTAATAAATGGTTTTATTTATGATAAATGAATTTACTTAAATTAAGATATCTATTGGTTGTTTTTATGATTTTTATCAACCTTCATTTTCAATATCGGTGAGTAGTGTGATATTCTTACTGAATTAGTGTAGTTCACATTTTCATTAACTATTTCAGATCAAAATGACTAACACCCAAATCCCGATCAACAAAAGAGTTGTGAATAGTTCACCACCTGAACTCCTTCAAAAACTAGTGAAAGTCGTTTTAAGATACTCAGTTGTTTATTTTTCGTTTATTTCTTTAATTTTCGGTTATTTTTTTAGAATGGATATTCTCATAACTCTATTAAGCATTCTAAATTACTGTGTAAGAAATGTAAACCCTAAACTTTATTGTTTCGCTTCCGTATTCAATTCATGTCTTTATTTTCTTTTCATTTTCGGGCGTTACAAGAGGAACTTACCTGCATGACTGAAACTAAAGAGATTGCAATTCCAGTCAGCTGAGGAGGATTTGACAACTTAGAGCTTGGATTAGCAGAATATGCTGCAGGAGAGGCTGAAAGCACTTTCAGAACCTGAAAATTGTATAGCATAAACGAAAAATGCCAAAAGAAAGCCATTACCACATAATTATACAAAAATTATTTCTGACCAAGAGATAGATCTATACAGTCTCTGCTTTCTTTCTTTCTTTCATTTTTTAAATAATAGCAACTAACAAACAACTAACATGGCATCAACCTATGCTCCAGAAATATAAACATATTTTGCTTGACCTTACCAAAGTATTGGCAGCATTTAACGAATGTCCAATTCCTCTAAAAAGCACAGGGGCCTGAAATATACTTAATTTGTCATAGATACAGATGAAAATAAGGATAATGTATCTACAGAGTTTAATGCGTGAAATTACAGCACATACAAATCAATTGAGCTAAAAACCATACTCTAACCTCAATTTTAGTTTTTCCCAAAATCACATCAGATTGAAGAAAATCATCAGCAGCAATGAGAGTATGATCTCCTTGGACATCAGAAATTGCATAATTTCTATGATCAATAACCATAGACGACGGATCCTATACCAATAATACAATTACATACACTATTCAGCAAAACTAAATGTAACTGCAAATGAATAAATAGTTAGCAGATTCTACACTAACCTCGTCGAAGTCAACTCCACATTCCGTAGCAATGTTCCGAATCAAATCTGATGCAGAAGCATCAGCCGCTATAATCAAATCACGACCTGAGTCAACGAAGTCAATAACGGCTGCCAAATCCAATGATCCTCCAAATCCTAAAAGAAAATAAATCATGTAAACACAAATTAATTTCTACGAAACTATAAAATTAAAAAAATCAAATGAAAGATTTTGTGGTTCATGTAGTTTACGCTCTGTGGAGGGAGAGAAGAGGATCAATCCATCGTAGAGGTAGTGGCCGTATCGTTGGAGAGCGAGCTTGGAATCATCAGCGAGCATAAAGTCAAGGTCAAACCCGCGAGATTTGAGGGAGTTGAAGAAAATGGAGTGTGACGACTTGATAGAGAAATCGTCCAGGAGAACCAAGATCCGGCGATCTGTGGGGTTCTCTGGGGAAAAGGAGATGCAGACAACGGGGAGGAGACAGATTGCCGCGAAGAACACATTTAACTTTCCCATTTCCATTCTCTACCTCCCTAGAGCTTCACTTTTGAGGGAGAAAACGAGAGCTTCTGTATTTTTCACGGGAGCGAGAGCCGCGAGGCGTTCAAGAGAAGCCGACGAGTGACTCAATCACGACGATTTTTCTTCACCGTTTCGTCTTTGGGACTCGAGAGCTAACCGAAACGTTTCGCGTAATGAATCAGTGGGCCTGTTTGGGCCGGATTTTCTATACGGGATGTTAGTAATATTTTTAAAAATATTTTTGGAGAATTTTTTTAATGTATTTTCTTTTAGCAATTACCATTAGAAATGATTTACACCCAAAAAAATATTTTGTTATTATGACATATGAAGCCAACACTATTGATAATTTTAATTATTTGAAGTATTTCATTAAGTTTATTTTTTTAAAAATTCATACTTTCATATTTAAATTTTTTATAAATTTTAAAATTATTTTTATAAATAAAATTTATTTGTCTTTAAAGTAATTTAAATTTCAAAAACTAAAAAAAATATTTAATAATTAATGAAGAAATTAATTGGGTCGCTTACAAATTTATTGAAGAGTACTTTTAGGAAACTAATAAGTATTATTATGTTTTTTTCTTTTGTACAAAGAGATGCAAAAGTTCAAAAAAAATTAAGAAATTGTCATGCATATATGGGGTCAGAAGATACCCATAATATAGTCAGTGATGAGCTATTGGAGAACATTCGACAGGCGAACATAAGAATGAAGGCCCATCGGTAGAGAGAAGCCGGCATTTGTCAACTAATCAACGCATTTATTTTCTTCGCGATAAACATACTGGATACTGATCTACCAACCTTACAATAGCAAGTGCTTGATCTCACAAATAATGGCAACATGCGCGTTAGTACCGTAATCCTCCTTAGTAAATAATTGTACCGCCAAAACACTATCCATTTTTAAAATAATACTATGGAACCCAATATGCCAAGCGAGTTGAAGGTCATCGAGAGTACCCCAAAGTTCGACTTGAAGCACAAAACATTTGTCAATCTTCCTGCTGAAGCTTCTCAGGCAGGCACTATCCTCATCCCTAACAAGTCCGCCACAGTAGGCGAGATTGGTAGCTACACGATAAGCACCATCAATGTTCACTTTTCACCAACTTTTGGAAGGTTTCTGCCAAGCTATAAATTCTTCTAACCTGTGTGTCATATCTGAAAAAAAAGTAAATATTCATATTATTACCCATAAAAGTATAATCAGTCATGAAGGACACATCCTTAGCAAACTCATCGATACTACTCTCACTCTATTGAAAAATAAACTTATTCCTATGGTTCCATAGGCTCCAGCAAGTAAGGCTAAAGGTCACTCTCCGATCCTGAATTATCTTGCACCAGGACTAGTTGTTTTTTAGGTTCAGCATGAACCACTCGTCAATAGTACCACAGAATTAAGTTAAATGGGCTTTAGCAAGTATGATCTTCAACCACAACAATTTAGCCATGTTGCAATTATGGAGGACATGATCCACATTCTCAATAGGGTCTCCACAGCTACTGCACTCCACAGTAGAGGACAAGTGACGTCGGTATCTCTCCCAATTCGTCAAGATCTTCCCCTTAGTAGCCAACTAGAGGAACATACGCACTCGTTGAGCACTTGGCCAATGCCAAATATCTCTCTAATTCTTATCCTCTAGGTGTCAATGATCACTCTTCAAGAGGGCGTAAGCTAAGCTAACCGAGAAACACCCAAAGCTCATCCTATCCCAAAAGCAGGAGTCTGGGATAATGTCATCTCTAGAGGCCAGTATCGCATCCAACTGAGCAGCGTGTCTATCAGCAACACCCGATGCAGGGCCTCCCAGTTTCAATTAGCCTAACGACAATACATAATCCCTGACACATCTATAGAGATCGTGTTCAGCAATAGGTACGAAAGCCAAAGCTTAAGTGGCCTCAGGTCCCCTAACCACTAGTCTTTCCAAAACCTAATATTTCTCCCTGATCTAATTGACTATTTGATGCCTATATAAAGGTCTGTCCAAAGATGGTTAAGGTTGCGCCAAAGCTGGGAGATTAGTCCTATCGGCTCGTAACTCTACGATAAGCTAGGCCATCTGTACTTGTGGATGAGGACCTAGACCCATAGTAGATCAGGCTTTGCAACTATAGAAAAATCCAATTTCATCAAGAAAACTTGGTTTTGCTTGTGGTCAGACTGAAATCTACTCCCCCTAACATTATAAGGCATGCATATGTCAGTCCAACTGATAAGACTGGTTTTCCGGTTGTCACTCCCCTGACCCCAGATAAACTTCCTAACCACCGCTTTAATTTGATCACATAGGGATTTAGGCAAGGTCGTGGTCTGCATAGCATAAGCGGAGATAGTCATGAGGGCAGACTTGATCAAAGTATTATTATTTTTTAATCTTTAAAAATTTATTCTTAAAATAAATTAATATTGATTAAATTTGTCCATAATGAAGGATTGTTTAGGTCTTATTCTTTGTGACAATTATGCTCAATGATAATAAAGCATGAACAACCCAATATATTTGGATTTGCTTTCATAACAAACACTCCCAAGTAACACATTCAATTCTCTACTCCATTAACTTTTCTAGCACAATCAATGTGAATACTAGAATATTGTGCAAAAATGAAACTAATTATCTTATAACATCTAATATAATAACAAAAGATAATTTATTTAAATTTAAAATATAAAATATATTCATATTTTAAAACATTTAACTCAAGAATTTTCAAAAGTACTTCAATTAAACTTAAATATAATTTAAATTTAAACCCAGACCAACACACAAAATAATGTCTTTTAATGCCAATCTCTTTAAAAATAAAACAACGCATGAACAATGTCATTTCAAATATTGAAATAATAATAATAATAAGAGGAATATAAGCATAGATGACAAATAGGAAAAAAAGAGTAAGAGACCCATAGAAGATCTATAGAGGAAGAATAAGGTAAGGAAGAGGCTGGATGAAGAAAAAGATAATGAAGAAACAAAAGCATGAGAGTGCATGCTGAAGAAGAAAACAAAAAGGCATAAAAGACATGGAGTTTTATCGTGTTTGTAATCTTAGGAGGATTTTAAGTGAAAAGTCTCATTCCTTTTTGCCTATAAAAGGTCAAGTACAAGAGCAACTAGTAAAGGTAGAGAGGAATTACAACCTATGAAATGATTTTGTGAGACAGTACTTTATTACTAAGAGAGAGATGTTCGACTCACTGAAATTCGAAGCTTAGGTCTCAATTTTTAAAAAAAAAATTTTACCCCTAAAATGTTAAAAAGTAAAATATACACTCTCAAGTACGAAGAGAAACTTGAGAAAGCCCTAGCTAGATTCCTAGGTGTTTCCATAGATGAAGTCCTACCTTTGGTTCTAATGAACAATGTGTAAATGATACACTAAAATCAACTATAAAATTTCAATAGAGGTTGCTTCAATCGAGTTCAATGATGAAATATCATGACATTAGGTTTTTTTTTTTATATATGATTGTCTTTTCAAGAGAAAAGAATTCATAGATAAATGGCCTATCAAAATGCTAGCATCATAGACAGAAAATATAGTTAACTTAGTTTTTATGGTTTTGGCATAAATAATTCGAAGTTTGAACTCCATAAGAACTAAGAGAAAAGGTGACCTAAAATGTTATTTACGTACTTTATGCAAGTAGTTGCATGGACGCTTAGATATATTTTCATCTATGAAAAAATACAGAATATGTGGTTGAGGACTGTTCATGTGTGATTAAAGAATATGACCAACTACTGAATGAGAAAAGTGAAACTAAAGAGCGGCAAAAGGAGTTGCATTATATTTCTGAATATAAGGCGTAGTGGTGAGCTCCATGATTTTGTACATTTAAAGTTATACTCAAGTGCAATATTTATCTATGGGTGTCATTATTAGGAATCCAAGGAATGATAATTATTACCTAACTATAATCATGAGAAAATTTCTAGGAAAGCAAGGAATTCCCATGATAGATAGATTATGGGAGTTCGACTATGCTTACTAAAGTAAGAATGCAACTACAATGAGTAAATTAAGAAATGCAGTAGAAGATAAGAAAGAAAAATGAGTTGGTCTTTGTAAAACAACTTTACCCTATTACATTTGGGAGGAAAAGTTATTTTTTAGGGTGCAATATTTTGGTGGAAAAAATAAATTTAAAACAATTTTAAATCATAATCAATCTAAACAAGAACTTGGGAAGGAGATGACAATCAAGTGTTATTCTCTTATGGAACCGAAGGACAAATAAATCGAAGAGCTAAAGAAGCAAAATAAAGGATGCAATGAGCATGCGTAGGATACCAAAAATTCTAATAATGAAGCTAAACTAGAAGTTTTAAATACTAAATATAGAATGCATTATCTTCAAATATAATTAAATAAGTCAAAAGCTAGAGTCAATTATTTAAAAAAATGAAGTCATAGGTTTAAAAACGAAGATGACATAACTGAAGGTTGGAAATCACAACCTTAAGCGGAAGCAACAAAAAGATATGAAAAGAATGTGGAACTACATTTCAAGTTGATCATGTTAAAGCATAAGTTCGGGGAAAAAGATTCCATTAAAAGATCAAGGAAAAAGAAACGAAAAATAATTTGATTTCATTATTTTCTTGCCTTTCTTATACTTGTATTTGAAACAAGGAAATGTTATTAATAAAAATTAATCTCTTTAAGGTCCATATGTAATCAATACATGATCTAATACTTTAAAAAATACTTCACATAATTAATACACCATTATTTTATATGTACTCATTCTAAATTGAATGAAAAGATACATTGCCAAATAAAAGTAATTTCTTTTGTCTAGAGCTCGTATCTAACCTATTCAAAAGTTAGAAACATATAAAACACTAAAAACAGTCGATAGAATGATAACTCATTCGACCAAAGGTTGAGCAAAACTAATCAACGGATCAATTCAATTAAAAACATGTTGTAATTTATCCTAAATAAGCTAACTGTACCTTCAATAACAATTGTCAATGAAGAGATTAATGTAACATCGCAACTAACATAATCACCAACTATGATTATACATGAGCATCAATCACCTCCTACCCCTGTAGTAATTAGTATTCCCAAGGATGGTAGTAAAAAGACTAAAGGTCAAGATAAAGGAAAATAGAAATCTTAAAGCGAGTGA